GACAGCTTGGGTTTTGGTTTGGTAATGTTTACAGAGACAGGTCACCTGGTCTTTCTCTCAAACAGTGGCTAGGTGGGTTCAAAACACCAGCCTTTTGGTTAGCAGCCACGTGCTGAAATCCTCGTTCACTAGGACTCCTGTGGATATACAGGTCAGGAACTCAGAAGAGTTTGGAGCCAGAGGTGACCAGGATCAGGTGAGACTGGGAGCGTAGAGCGAGGAGGGAAGCAGCCGAGGGTGAGGAGGATTTGGTGGAGAGGAGGACATGAGTGGCCCGAGGAGGGGGCAGCCAGCAGGGTGGGTGGTCGCAGAGCTCGGGAAGAGTGTGGTGGAGACAGCCAGGTTGTGAAGATGGGGGAGTGAGGACAGAATGGACTTTTGGATGTGGTTAGAAACAGTTTGGTGGCATGATGGAGATCTGTCCAGCCTGGTGGGGAAAGAGAGAAGGCTCACTTCGCCTCACCCTGGAGCCATCTCTGTGATGCACCACAAAGTGGCCAAAATTAACACACACATGTTAATTCTTGGTGTGTGAGTGTGTTTATGATGGTAGATCTATATCTAACAAGCCATTTGCCATTTCATCCCTTTTCATGTGTACAATTCAGTGATGTTAATAACGTTCACTGTGTTGTGCAACCATCACCGTTGTGTCTCCAAATTTAACAGAAACTTAATAAAACAAAAAACCCCAGATCAGTTGTTAATTCTGACTCATGGTGCCCCCATGCGTTTCAGAGTAGAAGTGTCCTCCATAGGATTTCATGGCTGTGACCCTCCAGAGGCACGTTGCCGGGCCTTCCAAGGTGCCTCTGGGTGGTCTCTAACCACTAACCTTTCTGTTAGGAGCCGAACACGTTAACCTTCGTGCCATCCGGGGACTCCTAACAGAAACTCGGTGCCCCTTAATCAAGAACTCTCCCGTTCCGCCTCTCACCCGCCCCTGGTGACCACTAACAAACTCTGATCTAGTCTGTGCTCTGCCTTTTCTAGCTATTTCATGTAAGTGGGATCTTACAGTATTGGTCCTTTTGTGTCTGACTAATCCTTCATTTCAATCTGTGTTAACATTGGAGGTAAAACAGTGAAGGATATTTGAGGACTTGTCCTTTTGTGTCCGACTAATTCTTCATTTCGATCTGTGTTAACATTGGAGGTAAAACAGTGAAGGATGTTTGAGGACTTGAAAATGCCTTTACAAGTCTTCTGTAAGTCGAAAATTATTTTAAAATAAAATGTGAATTTATTCATGTATTTTTTTAAAGAGGCCATGTTCAGAACAAGGCAGTCTGTAGAGACAGAAAGTAGACCAGTGGTTGCTGAGGGCTGGGGGTAGGGGACAGCAGTGAGAGGGGGTGACAGAGAAAGGGCCCAGTCTCTTTTTGGGGTGATGAAAATATTCTGAGGTTGACTGTGGTGATGGTCGCACAACTCTGAATAGATAAAAAACCACTGAATATGTCAACACCACTTGGGGTGAATTTTGTGGTAAGGGAATCGTACCTCAATAAAATGGGAGAGAGAGAGAAGGAGAGAAAGAAGGGAGGAAGGGAGGAGGCAGAAAGATAGGAGATCCTAGATGGAGTGGGAGAAAAAGGTGGGACAAAACTCAATCATTAAAAACAAAAAAACACCCAGGCTCACTGGTCCGATAGAGACCAGCGAAACTCCCCAGACTATGGTCTCTAGTCACCCTTCGGGCCGGAAATTGAACTCACTCCTGTGGCTTCCAGCTAAACAACAGACAGGAGTAAAAGGTGAACATTTACGCCAGGTAGATACCCTCCTTAGAGCAATCACTCATGGGAGATCAGAAAGGCAGTGTTTTCACAGGGAGACAGCTCAGAGGGCAGGAAGGCATAGGAAAGGAGGACCCAGGGTAAAGGTAACCACAGGGAGGAAGTGGGAAGAGAGCTGTTACATTACGGGGATTGCAGTCAATGTCATGAAACACAGTGTGCACGAGCTGTTGAATGGAAAATGCATTTGCTCTGTAAACGTTCGCTCAAATCACGATTTAAAAAAAAAGAAAAAGTGGGAAAAAAGGAAGGAAAGAAGAGGCCAGAGCAGGTCAGGAGGCTTCATGGACAGTACGAGCCATTTTTGCCAACTCCACATGTCCATATGTGTCACGTGTGCACGTGCGTGTCATGTATGCCTGTCACGTGTGTCTGTACACCAGCAAAGATCCAGAAGGACACACTGAGGTTTTGGGTTGGCAGCGATCGGTACTTTGCAGTTTCATGTATTGTCTGATTTTTGTTTTACAAAGAGTAAATATATGCGTAAGTTCTATAACTAGAAGGCAGTTTTTTAATGTTCAAATTTTGGAAAATAGAGTGCTCCCTGACCCTGAGCCTTCTTCCGCGTGCTCCCCAGTGAATCAGCACCCAGGTGTTCTTTGGGGTCCTGGGGGTGGAGCTCAAAGAAGCCTCAACACCACTCCCAGCCTGACTTATATCACCCCGATGCCCTCCCCAGATCAAGAAGTGAGGCAGGCACCCAGGGGTCTGGGAACTCAGTGTCCTGTCTTTATTTGGAGACCAGGAGACAGATTATAGCTTAATGAGAGGAACCACTCAAGTGATCCAATGGGAAGGGGCGAGTTTCCTATCCCCAGATAGCAATAGCCTCCCTGGAGGGGTGTCTGCATTCATTTGGGGTGGATACTCTGGGCCTTTCCAGCTCCAGGCTCTGAGTTTCTGGAATGTGGGTGGGCCTGGGAGACAGTGTCCTCATTGTCTCCTGTCCCCTCTGGCCACAGGCATCTCCGGGAAGAGCCAGATCCTTTTCGCTCTTGTCTTCACCACCAGGTACCTGGACCTCTTCACCAACTTCATCTCCATCTACAACACAGTTATGAAGGTGAGGGGGCCGGGTGGCGGTGGGGGCGGGGTTGCCCAGCGCCACAGACTGAAATAGCACACTTGGGAGCTCAGGCTTGGGTTTGAATTGGGCTTAAGCAGCTGTGTGGCCTGGACTTGGGCAAGACCTCTGGTCTCTCTGGACTTCAGTCTCCTCCTTTGCAGGATGGACCCTAGGACCTCAGTGTTTTGTTATGAAAGTTAAAGGAGACAATAAGAGTGTAAATGTACAGTAAGTATCAAATCTCAAACACTCAATAAAAGTCACTCATTATAATGAGTAAAAACAAGCAGAATATTGAACATGGCATCCTTAGCTTCCAGAGAACTTAGTCACCCTTCCATCCATCCATCCACCCAACAGATATTTATTGCACACCTACTGTGTGCCAAGGAGCTCTGGTGGTGTACTGCCTAAGGCATTTGACCGCTAACCAGAAGGCTGGCGGTTCAAACCCACCAGCCACTCATTGATGGGGCAATCTACTTCCATAGTGATACTGTCTCGGAAACCCAAGGAGGAGTCGCTATGAGTTGGATCCGACTTGACGGCAGTGAGTTTGGTTTGGTTTTGGACTGTGCGCCAGGCACCATTCTGAAGAAGACATACAGGGCTCTTGTTCTCATGGAACCTACTACCTTCTAGTGGACGAGATAGCATAAAACAAATGATAGAATAAAACCAGAACTTTGCTTTGGGGGTGGTTGGTATGTGCTGTTGAGTGCATTCCAACTCATAGCAACCCAGGGCAAAGTAGCCTTGCCCTGTAGGACTTCCTAGGCTGTAACCTTTCTGGGAAGGTTGGGCAGTCTACTTCCATAGTGATAGCGTCTCGGAAACCCAAGGAGGGGTCGCTATGAGTAGGGTCCAACTCGACGGCAGTGAGTTTGGTTTGGTTTAATCTTTCTGGGAGCAGATTGCCAGGTCATTTCTCCCACAGAGCTGCTGGTGGGTCCTACTTGGCAACTTTTCATTATCAGCAGAGAGCTTAACCCATTGTGCCACCGGAGCTCCTTTTGGTTGGGATCGGAAAGGGCCTCTCCGAAGGGATCTGAGTGACAGAAGGAGCTAACCATGTGAAGATTTGAGGAGGAGCATTCCCAGTGGAAGGACTAGCTGGGGCAGAGGCCCGAGGCAGGACAGGCTCAGTGTAGTCCCAGGACAGACAGAAGACCAGTGCAAGGGAGCTCAGCGGCAGAGGGCTGCCTGGTGGTGAGGGCAGATGGTACGGGGCTTCCTAAGCCACATCAGCCCACTGGGATTTCATGGTATTACCTGTCTTGCAGGGCTGTTGTGAAGACCACATGAGATAATAAATTTCACATGCCTGGGCTATTTAGAGGAGCTCTGGTGGCATAGTGTCTGAGGCATTTGACTGAAATGAACATCTCTCTCTCTCTCTTTTTTTTTTTAATTGTGATTTTACAGAGCAAATTCACTTTCCATACAGCAGTTCACATACACTTTGGCTCATGATATTGGCTACAATTTACCCCAATGCAACAGCTCCCCTCCCACTTCTTCCCCATAGTTACCTCTTCCCTGTGTCCATCCCTCCATGCCCTCCTGCCCCCTGAGCTGTCTCCCTGTACATAAACAGCCCTTCTTTCTCCCATGATTGTTCTTTCCAAGGAGTGTATCTACCTCTGGTACATGTTCAACTCATATGCCTGTCTTTTGTTTGGCTGGAAGCCCCAGATATGGGTGAAATGAACATCTCTTGAGTTACACTTTGCTGCCCTGGGTCCTTGGCCATACACTGTTAGAATATTTTGGGTTGAGGCGTCTTCTGAGCTTTTAACCAACCATCTGAGCTCTTTAAGGTGACATAGCTTGGTGGAAGGAGCTCAGGTTTCCTAGTCAGTGAAGTGGGCTGTAATTTTGCTTGGATGCTGATAATGGAGACTTAAAATGAAAGAGATTTTTAACAAGATGGGGCTATTTTTTCTCTCATAGCATGAAATCTGGAGATGGGCAGGCTAGAGCTAGGATGACAACTTCACTGATGTCCTAGACGTCTGACTTTCTGCTCTGTCATCTTCAGAGTGTGACGAGAACCAACTTCATGGATGTGTGACCTGTGTCGTTGCTTGGTTTAATGCTGAGCTTCCACCATCTTGAAATTGGTCATCATTTCTTTTTAACATTTTGCACTGGGCCCCACAAATTATGTTACCAGTCCTGAAGGTGACATCTCTCCTCAGTGTTGCCCTAGGGTCATAATATAGATACTAGGGTCACTACCATTACATCATAATCTGGCCAGGAAGAAGGAGGAGGGGAGACAAGAGCCATAGGGTGCCTGCCAGATGGGTAAGCCTTTTTTAAAGGGCTTCCCCAAACACAGTGACTTTCTTATATCTCACAGCCCATCCTTATCTGCAAAGGAGGCTGAGAAATATGGTTCGAGTTGGACACATTGCCACTCCCTATAAAGTAAGAATCCTGTTTCCAAGGAGGAAGGGCTGCATGGTGTTACCTGTCTTACAGGGCTGTTGCGAAGACCACATGAGATAATAAATTTCAAGTGTCCGGGCTATTTAGAGGAGCTCTGGTGGCATAGTGTCTGAGGCATTTGACTGCTAACCAGAGGTTGGTGGTTCAAACTCACCAGACACTCTGCAGAAGGAAGACTGGGCAATCTACTTCTGTAAAGATTTACTGTCTC